ATATTCCTGCTGTTAACTTCCTCATCCATGAAATCCACTGTAGCAGGAACATCGAAGTCTGCTGCTACTGCAGGGACTCAATCCCCAAGTCTGAAATGAAGAAACATATTGAGTCTGAACACGTGCAGGTGAGAAACAAAGTTCTCCTCTGAAGCTGCTCACTTCTGTGGCAATTATTCTAACGAGGTCTGTTTATTGTAGGTTATCTGCAAGTGTAACATGAAGATGGAAAACGGCCTCCTGAAGGATCATGAGGTTGGTGGAGTTTGTATTATTAGACACTTGGAAGATGCTCTGTGGTGTTTCCAGGCACTGATTCTGGAGCCTTTCTGTCAGCCAAGACCTGGACTCCAGCCTGTGATCTGTGCATCCTTTTTTATTGAACCATGCTCTCTGAATTCACACCCTCCAAGAAAAGGTGCCTTAAAGTAGTGGAGTCTGCTCAGGTCTTCCTGTCTGAGGGGTGCCTGTGATAATTGGTGATTCTGTCCTTGATAGTGATTTAGATAAAAAGTGGTACACTAGTTCAGAAGTGCAGAACATGAGTCACTTGACTTTTTTTGTCCCTTTAACATTACACATTTCTGCCTGCTGCAGCCGTTCTGTGAGTTTTAATAACTCATTGTGTCCAAAGAGACTTTAAAAATAGCCTGTAAAATAAACTAAAATAGGACACACTGGGATTTTCTGAGTTTCTGAACCCAGCTGTCTGCTGTCACAGGCAAACTTCTTCTAAAGGTCAGTTCCTTCCCTTCCTATGGGCTCATTTAATGGTAGCTCTTGAAGTGCCACCAAGTCTGCTTGTTGCTGAGGGAATAAAGATTTCCTTTGGCGAGATCTCCAGTTCCAGACCCTGGAAATAGTTTGTCCTGCACGTTTGTATGTGAAGTTCTTCATGTGTGATTTCAATTACTGGATTTCAAGTCCAAAGCTAACTTTAAAAAGCACCATGTGCATCAGCTGTCCAAGTGTTCCAGACTTAACAACCATGTGCTGAGTGTGTGGAGTGCTTCAGCTGGTGTGCGGGGCACCGCGTCCAAAGCTAACTTTAAAAGGCACCATGTGCATCAGCTGTCCAAGTGTTCCAGACTTAACAACCATGTGCTGAGTGTGTGGGGTGCTGGGCACCGCACAGCTCAGACAACACCTTGTTGCTGCATTTCTCACAGGATAGCTCATTCCAGGCTATTCTTTAGTGCAGCTTTGGATCTGGCTAAAGAAACAGTAGACTGCCCAGCTCTTAAGCCAGCTGAGAACCTCCCTCTACCTTTGCCTGGGTCTCCCACGTGTGAGGAGTGGGGCAGTAATCCCTCTGTCCTCTGCCAGGCGTCGGCGTGCCCCCTGCGCCCCGTCCTCTGCCACTTCTGTGACATACCCCTGGCCTTCCACAAGCTCCAGGAGCACGAAGAGTACTGTGGAGCCCGGACTGAGACCTGCAGGGGGTGTGGCCAGAACGTCCTGCTGAGAGATCTGAAGGAGCACCCTCCAGTCTGTGGGCAAGAGGGGAGGCAAGCACGAGGAAGGAGAGCAGCGCCTCGCTTAGAGGAAGAGGATGGAGACTTCACCTTTCCAGACATTAGCAGCCAGCTGAGATCAGGTAACTGCCCTGGGCCTCAGTGGGCAATGCCCACAGTGCCAAAGAACAAATTTATGGCAGTGGTGAGGAGACAACACCCTGAAGGATGTTACCAGAAGAAATGTTTCAGCAGTACAAAGAAATCAGAATCGAGAGTGTAGAGAGGAGTGATAATTGGCTTCTGATCTGACATTTGGCAGCTGGTCCCAGCATAAGGGTTTGTAATTGCTTTCTGTGAAAATCCCAGGTAATGAAAGCTCCAGAGGTGCTGTGAGTGGGGCTGTTTCACTGTGGAATAGAACTGTGGAGGCAGGAGCCAGCTAAACACAGGGCTGCTGAGGTACCTGGTGGGGAGGCCCAGTCCTTTACCAAGCCACTGAGTTATTTCTACAAGCCAGGCTTGGTAAAGCCCCCAGGAAGCTTTAGTTCAAGCTTTTGGAGTAAGAGGAAGTGACTTCATTCTTTTTTCTCCTTTTCTTGCTTGTTACAAACAAAAATAGGATGGCTGTTTCCCTTCTCCCTCCTGAATTTGGTAGAGCTGTCCTTCTAGGCTTTGAAACACTCTGTGAGTCCCCATGTGAAAGCCTCATGGCTGAGCTGCTCTGATGTCCAGAAGGGAACTGCTGCTTGCAGCCTGAATATTCTCTCAAATTTACAATGTTTGTCTTTTGAAGAGGAGGAACTGGAGCAGCTGGAGAGAAATGAAAACACTCGTTCTTCCCTTGATGAGGAGTGGGACAGGGATTTGGACTACATGTTGGCACTCAGCCTGCAGAGTGGGAATAATCCTCCCAGTAACACTGCAGCTGGAATGCCAAGGGACTTCTGGGAAGGCTGCTACACCAAAGAGCCTGTGCCAGCTGCCTGTCTCTGTGACACAGACAGGGCAAATCTCTTCTCCTGTGATTCGTTAGTGTCCTACAGCACTTCAGACCACATAAAAAGTAAGTGTAAAAGCTGTGGTGGTGTTTTTATGTTTTAAGGTTTGAGGGAAGGGAGGGAAAGGACTCTAGGAGTGGGAGTGTCAGAGATTATCTAGATTAAAATGTCAAAATGAGTCTGTTTGAGACTCCAAGTCACTTTTAGGTGATCAATACACAAGGGATTAGACTCTCCACGAGTATCATTCTTCCTTCCTTTCTTAAAGTTTATCTTCTGCTCCCTCAAACTTGGCAGTATTAGTGTTTGAAATAGTTCCTTTCAAAGGGGTACAACTAAAGCAAGACAGCAGGGGAAGAAGAAATAGAAGCTATAGAGAATCTCTGACCTTGATAACATGGTGAGAGCTTCATAACAAGCAAGGAGGTGACACCTTTCTCCTGGAAGTAAACAAGATAGGAAGGGAGGATCTGGGAGAGAGACCTGAAGTGCCAGCTTAGTTTGAAGGGAGAAATGATCCTAAAGGGTTTATTGGAGGCACTAAAAAGGTTTTTTACCAGACCATTCAATGTGACTTTGACCCCAGAACATTGTTGTCACTCTGGGTGACTATTTGCTTGTGTGAAATTGAGCAGGTGGGACTGGTGTAGATGTTCCCATGGCCTGTGGCACAGAACAGGAGCCTGTGGCTTAGGAATTTTGGAGATAAGTCAATCCAGCTGCACCTGCCCTCTCTGTGGTGGAGGATCTGACTGACACTTCTTTTGCAGCTGAGGAGACCATCATGTTGCCCTGTGAGTTTTGTGAGGAGCTCTACCCTGCTGAAGACCTGATCCTTCACCAGGTTTAGTACCTTCTTGCATTGTCCTTGGGTCTGCAGTGGAGGCTTTTTTCTGGCATGATGACTGAAAAAGGGTTTGGGCTCCACTTGGTGACACTATGAGGACTCCTCTGATGATTTGGTCTTTGCAGAGCATGGCTTTTAAATCACATCTAATGTCCTTGGGTCTGCAGTGGAGGCTTTTTTCTGGCATGATGACTGAAAAAGGGTTTGGGCTCCACTCGGTGACACTGTGAGGACTCTGATGATTTGGTCTTTGCAGGGCATGGCTTTTAAAGCACATCTAAGCTCATTTTTCTGTTTCTTGCTCAACAGACAGGCTGTAACCCAGCAAGTGCCTTTGCCTCGTTCAGTAAAAGAAGTCCTTCTCCAAATCCACAAGAATTTGATGGTCTGTGTGCTCTTGGGTCCAAAACCTCTAAGTCCCTCTCATCCCAGTCCCAAGCTGTCCAGACAGAAGGAACCATTATGATCCCCTGTGAGTTTTGTGGAGTCCAACTAGAAGAGGAGACTCTCTTCATTCATCAGGTACTAAACACAGCTTGACTTGTGCCACATCCCATCTTTCAAGTCCCACAGCCACTTGTGGCACATTTCAGGAATTCAAGTAACTCCCTTATGCCTGATCTCCCTAAACAAAGCCCCTTGGGTCCTGTGGGACATGCTGTGGCATGCTGAGGCTTTTACTGAAAAATAGTGATCATACTGAAGGCTCTTGTTGAAAAAAACTAAACCAAAGGCCCAGAAATGGCACAACAGAAATTTTGGCTGTGTAGCTAAAAGTTGTGTTGAACCCAGGGTTGATGAAGTGATGGAAGGAACAGCAGGTCCTGGTCCTGCTGCAGTGGTGGACAGCTTAGACCCCCTTGGTGCTCTGATGCTTTCCAGCAGCTTTGGGAAGTGGGGTGCAGAGGGAAGAGCTGCTCCTCTGGGATCTCCTCCAGTTGCAGACATGTTGTGGAAATGCTGATCTTCCTCATTCTGTGTTTCATGGCTCTTCTGTGTCCTCACAGTCCTAGATAACAAACCAGTGAAGCTGTGTCTGGTTCATTTATCTGGGCCTTGCCCCAGTGTTGGTAGAATCAGTATTAATGGCAATGAGATTGAGAAATTCTCCTAACTTATCCTGAGCCAAATAGTTGTGGAGGACACTGGGGGGGGGGAGTCCCATCACTTCCTGTTACACTTCTGCTTTCCCCTCACCCCAGCCCACTCCTGGAAGTGCAGAGGCTGCTTTGCTGCCAGCTTCTGCTATTTTTGGTGAAGTTTGTGTGGGATAATTGGGACCTGCTGAGAGCCAGGGAGTGTGGCTGAGCTGCAGCAGTGCAGGTTGTTTGCAGAGCACGAGCAGGACACCCTGTGTGTGTGAAGTTCTGTGTTCCACGTGGTGTTCCTGGTGGCCAGCAGAGGTGGCTCATGTTCTAGCTGATATTTTGGCTTAGTGACCTGGGGGTTTCTGTCATCTTCTGTTGTCTTTGGTGTAATGAGCCTGCAGAAAGCTGTGAGTCTCCAACCAGGATACCAACAGGGGCACTTCTGGGGGTGCCACGACTTGCAGACCACTTTCAACTCGACTTTTGCTTCTGGATTTGGTTTTTATGATGGGTGATACCGGGTTGATATCAGGAACTTGATGGGAACTACAGGGCCAGTACTCGAGGGCTGCTTTCCCCGTGCTTGGGGTGGGCTTCATGGGGTCGGTTTTAGGGGTAGGGGCTGAGCCAGGAGTGTCTGCCTGTCGCTGGCGGGTGGTG